GCGTACCTTATAGTCCAAGTTGGGCTCGACCCATATTATCATATCAAGTGTCTTAGCCCATGTATAGGCGTATTCTTCAATATATATCCATAAAAACCGGTCGGGTACGACATGCTATATCAGATACTACCGCTCGAGCCGGCAGTACTAGTCATGGCTATATCATCTAGAAATGATGAGACAAAGATGTCACCCGGGCTCCCTCGACTCGGACGGCCACCGTACCTGCAAGAACCCAAAGTCCGGGACCCCGAGAGGGGTGCCCGGCTTTGGGCCTCCGATGCTTAAGTCAGTACTGGATTCATGTGAGAATGCATAGAGAGAGAGAGTAGGGAGAGAGTGTAGAGAGAGAGAGATTGTAGTAATGGAATGGGGAGAGAATGTAGGAAATGAGTACCTTCTCCCTCTTTTTATAGGGGGAGCGTACCTTATAGCCCAAGTTGGGCCTGGCCTAGGTTGGGCTCGGCCCATATTATCATATCAAGTGTCTTAGCCCATGTATAGGCGTATTCTTCAACATATATCCATAAAAACCGGTCGGGTACAACATGCTATGTCAGATACTACCGCTCGAGCCGGCAGTACTAGCCGTGGCTATATCATCTAGAAATGATGAGACAAAGATGTCACCCGGGCTTTCTCGACTCGTACGGCCACCATACCTACAAGAACCCAAAGTCTAGGACCCCGGGAGGGGTGCCCGGCTTTGGGCCTCCGATGCTTAAGTCAGTACTGGATTCATATGAGAATGCATAGAGAAAGATAGAGAGTAGGGAGAGAGTGTAGAGAGAGAGAGAGAGAGAGAGAGAGAGAGAGAGAGAGAGTAGTAATGGAATAGGGAGAGAATCTAAAAAATGAGTACCTTCTCCCCTTTTTTTATAGGAGGAGCGTACCTTGTAGTCCAAGTTGGGCCTGGCCTAGGTTGGGCTCAGCCCATATTATCATATCAAGTGTCTTAGCCCATGTATAGGCGTATTCTTCAATATATATCCATAAAAACCGGTCGGGTACGACATGCTATATCAGATACTACCGCTCGAGCCGGCAGTACTAGCCGTGGATATATCATCTAGTCCCCCCCACTCTGGTCGAGTGAGCATAACTCGATCCAAGAGTGAAAAATAGAGCAACTCGCCGCTGGAGTCAACACTGAACACCGAATGGTCGTAGAGGTCGAAAGTTAAGTGACCCGCCACTGGGGTCAAGCATCGGAAGCCGGATGATCAATGAGATTGAAATCCAAGTTACCCGCCTCTGGAGTCGAAACCCAAAAGATCTGCATCAGAGATCGAGAACCGAAACTGGGGTCGATTGCCAAAAGATTTGTCTCTGAGATTGAGCACTGAAAACTGAAAGACTAGTGTTTGAGTTTGGGTACTGAATAAATCGATGCTACCTCCAGGTCGAGAACCAAATTGAGGTCGAAAATCCTAATCCAAGAATCGAATGACAGTTGCGGTTGAAAACAAAGAACCGATAGACCACTGAGGTCGAAAACTGAGAATTGAGAGACCACTAAGGTCGAAAACTGAAAATCGAGTAATCGTCGATGAGGTTGAAAGCCGAGATTCGAGAGACCGCTGAGGTCGAAAACTGAAAACTGAGTAGTCACCGATGAAGTCAATAGTCGAGAATCGAGAGACCGCTGAGGTCGAAAGCCCCGAATCGAGAATCGAGACCGTTCAGGTCGAAAGCCGAGAATTGAGAGTCGAGAGACCGTTGAGGTCGATAATTGAGAACTGAGAGTCGAGAGACCATTGAGGTCGAAAGCCAAGAACCGAGTGTCAAGAGATTGTTGAGGTCGAAAGCTGAGAACCGAGTAATCAAGAGACTGCTGAGGTCGAAAGCCCCAAATCGAGAATCGAGAGACCGTTGAGGTCAAAAGCCGAAAACCGAGTAATCGAGATACCGTTGAGGTCGAAAGCCCCGAATCGAGAATCGAGAGACCGTTGAGGTCGAAAACCAAGAACCGAGTAATTGAGAGACTGCTGAGGTCGAAAGACCCGAATCGATAATCGAGATACCAT